TTTTTACGACTAATAGTCGCAGTTCATTCGCCTAACAAAAATAATTATTTAATGGCCGACGGACCGAATCGTACATCGAATCTCCGAATATTCATCGTAGAACAGTCGCATATTTTAACTCATAATTTTCTCGCCCATGCTCATACCTGTCGCCTATTTAGCGCATAGTTCATCGCATATGTCTTCGTACATTTTGGGGTGTAAAACTTAGCTTTTTATTGGGTGGTGTGAAAAACTTATTATGACTTCAAAACGGGGTGAAAATAGCTATTTCCTCTTTACTATCTGGCGCCCCGTACTAGTTACTCGGTCAAAGAGTTTGAATAAAATTGAGTAGGCATTGTTGCCACGCTCCGTTTTGAGCGATTGGCATTCACGCACCACCCACCGCCAGTTGACTGTTCCCCGCGAATGAAGCGGAGCTGAGCTGCCACCAAGTCTCTCGATTCCCCGCCATTACCGTTCGTTCCCCTCATTAGACTTACAAACGTGGATCAATATCCACTCCACAAACAAAGCATAGAAAACGGGCGGGCCTTGTTCGAATCGAATGTTTGTTTGGTAAACGAGATAAACATTCATACTCGTCTAATCCATATTCGATCAGATCCTTGTTTTTACCTTTTCCGAGGAAGTAAGAATGTTGGAGATTATATGGAGGGACCCGGGAACCCCAGCTGATTCTTATTACGAGGTTCGCCCAGAATGCACCGATGTTCCTGAAAGCAAGTTCAGAATTAAGGTTTGTTTACCATCCCTTTTCTTTCTCCATCTGCTGGCAAGTAAGAAAATGTTCTATCTTGTCAATGTCTAATCTTCCGAGTTTTTCGAATCGAGCTCCGAATTTCATTTCCCCAATGTTAGATTACGAATCGTCTGAGAAATAAATAGCATTAGATTCTCTGAATGATATATCTTAAAATCCTGTTGAATTTGCAGTTAAATTTTGGAGTTTATCTCGTCATGCTACCAAGTGTGGGTTGTTCTATTATACTACTTTTTGGATGTATGCAATAATAGTAGTTTCTGAAAGTTAAAGAAGTGCGAGGTTAATAAAACTAACTTATCTCGAGTATTATTTCACTCAGGCTCTGGCTTGTAGTTGGATGTCTCTAGTAGCTAATTCAATTAAGATCACTGTGATGCTGACATATTTCCAGAGGGTTAACTCATTACACTGAGAGTTCTGTGTCTGGATTTTAATAGAAATCTTGCTCGTTTCTATGTAACGTAAAATTCAGGCTTTCGTTCAACTCTATGTATTAAAAAAAGGCATCTTTTTCTATTTAACTAGGCTGGCAAAACTTTAAGTGTCCGAAAATGGAGAGCTGCTTTCTCTCCGGAAGGCCATCTTGATATAAGCAAAACACTCGGCCGAATTCATCGTGGGGTAAGCTTTTCCATGAATTGTTTATAGCTCTGCCTCTTACATTGTAAATTTTCCTTTGAGACTGTTCCTCTGTACACTTAATTGCTTTTTTCTTGGCAAAGTGCTTTTGCAGTCTGTAATTGTTTTCTTTCTTCACCAAAAGATTCTTCTTTTTATCCTCGGAAACTGGGGTGAGGAAGTGTTAGTGTCAAATTTATCATGTCAGAATGAGTTTTTATGTTGAGTCTTCTTTGTTTTAACTGTTGTTCATCAATCTTATACTATCTGTGTTTTACTGCACAAGTGCACAACCATTACGATGAAGAAAATTGAAAAGAAAAAACGACAGTTACAATACATTCTAGTGCTTCTTAAAATTTGTAAATAAAATAATAACAATGAATGCGAGAGATGATATAAGGAAATCTGTTTCTGTCACTAAACAGGGTATTCACCCAACAATTAGAGGTGAAGTTTGGGAATTTTTGTTGGGTTGTTATGATCCTATGAGCACGTATGAGGAACGAGAGCAAATACGTCAGAGTCGAAGGTACATATTACTATCATCTTACTGCAATGACTATCTTATCCTGATTTGTCTTTGCACACTATGTTCTGATCACTTAAAGTTGCATGCTTTTTGGTATCCATCGTATTGAACAATGGGGGTGCTTTTGCTGTGATTTTTTTTTTTTT